TGGGGTGCGCGGGGCCGGCGGTGCGGAGACAACCCTGGCACCTACCCCTCTCCCGGCTGGGTTGAAGCCCTGCGTGGCGGGGGAGCGCGGTCCCCGGATGGATGGGGGGAGTGGAGATGGGGAAGCCTCTCAAAGTCGTGACTCTGCAGAATAGTTTCTGACGCTGCCCTGGTGTGCGGTGAAAGTGAGGGTGTGTCCTGAGGCGCTGGGCACCAGGCTGGAGGTGCAGGGCGATTCCTTTGGGCTTCTCAGTGGTCGCCGTGGAAGGGAGCGGGGAAGAAGGGGAGGGATGGAGGGACCCGGGATGGAAGGTGAGCCTTCATCCTTCTTGGGGTTGCCAAGCGGCGTTTGCCGCCCTTCGCCCTTCTCTTGCCCCTTGCCTTTGTTCGACCGCCCCTTTGGTACCAGTTTCAGTTTTGTCCCTAGGCAGATTGTAAACCTTTTTGCTTCGTTTTCGTTTCATCAGACGTTGCATTGCATTTCTCTATCCGAAACATGGTGTGAGCTTTCGGAAGTAGATGAATACACATATCCCCGGGGTGTCATTTCTTGATTGGCGTTTGACAAGGGCTTGTGTTGTTTGCTTGCTGACAGTCCAGGGTACTGGCCAGGGATCACTTTTACTTAGAGAATGGACCTTGCTGCTCCCTAGCCTTATTCAAAATGGCACCTAAAATATGTGTGGTGTCTCCAATTGGCTGTAGATGTGTGATTCATTGACCATCCCTATTTATTCTGTCACAGTTCCTTTATTGAAGATTCAGCATTTACAAAGCATGATACTAATAAGAGTATTGTTTGATCTCAAGGTGGATTCTTGATGGTCTAGAATCTTTAATCGACTTCTTAATGATTGCCCAACCCCTTTCTAAAGCCGTAACAACAGTAGAATGACTCTTGAAATATTCTGATACCTAAATACACCAGTAGGTTCACACACTTAAAACCCCTATATGTTTTCTCAAAAAATGCCAGCGCTGACCAAAGTTTCTTCTTTAAAATTTGAACTTTATCTTAAATATTTAATCAGATCTTTTCCTCATCCCTCAAATGAGGGAACTCGAGTAGATTTCTAAGGTCCCTTCCTTTGACCTCTCCATATCGATAATCTGTATTTTGAGGGTCAGCAAAAAGCTCTATATTAAAATGAAGAGAACATTTTAAGTACTATTTCATAAGATTTAGTAGAAAATTAAGTATGTAGGCTTGGCGCAGTGGCTCACGCCTGTAATCCCAGCTCTTTGGGAGGCCCGAGGTGGGCGGATCACTTGAGGTCAGGAGTTCGAGACCAGCCTGGCCAACATGTTGAAACCCCGTCTCTACTAAAAATACAAAAATCAGCCGGGAGTGGTGGCGGGCGCCTGTAATCCCAGCTACTTGGGAGGCTGAGGCAGGAGAATCGCTTGAAACCGTGAGGCGGAGGTTGTAGTGAGCCAAGATCGCACCATTGCACTTCAGCCTGGGTGAAAAAAAGCGAAACTGCATCTCGAGAAAAGAAAAAAATTACGTATCTAGATTATTAAATGGTTAAGGATAAGTGCAATTAAAAATTAAAGCCGGGGGCCGTCGTGTGTGCCTTTAATTCCAGCTACTCGGGAAGCTGAGTTGGGAGGATCCCTTGAGCCAAGGAGTTAGAGGGTGCTGTGGTCTGTGACCACGCCACTGCACTCCAGCCTGGGTGACAGAGCAAGACCCCCGTCTCTAAAAATAAACACACACCTGTGCCTCTTACAGAGTTAGGGTTTTGTACATATTGCCTTGTTTTAATTTTCAACATAATCCTGTGATACTGGTATAATTCCTCCTGTAAGCAAAAGCAAAACGTTTTAAGTAACTTGCTCATGGCAATAGTGCAATAAATTTCAAGTAGTTTCCTCTCCTTTACTTCTAGTACTGTTTTGGTTTAATCGTGTAGCATCTTTAGCTTGTACTATTGTAATATGCTTCTAGTTTATTTCAGTGATTACAGTGTGCCCTCTTCAAGCCCGATTTCTCTGCTTATGACAGCCTTTCAGGAATTACACATTGCCTACAATATAAAGCCTTTATGTGTTTTATTTTATTTTATTTTTTTATTTTTTGAGACTGAGTTTTGCTCTTGTTGCCCAGTGTGGGGTGCAATGGCGCAATCTTGACTCACAACCTCCACCTCCTGGTTTCAAGCGATTCTCCTGCCTCAGCCTCGCGAGTAGCTGGAATTACAGGTGTCTGCCACCTTGCCTAGCTAATTTTTGTATTTTTAGTAGAAACAAGGTTTCACGGTATTGGCCAGGCTGGTCTCGAACCCCTGACCTCAGGTGATCCACTCGCCTCAGCCTCCCAAAGTGCTGGGATTACAGGCATGAACCACCGTGCCTGGCCTCTTTATATATGTTTTAGGATGACTTATCTTCCATAACTTGATCCTTAGCCAGCTTCCAGTTTCATCTACTGCTGCTTTCCCTTTTCTCTGGTAATTAATTACTTACATCTTAGAACATACCATGCTGCTTTATGCTGTGGAATATTTTCCTTCTTTTCTGGGAATACTTCTGTTCTCTCCTAGTCTCTAACACCTAATCTTTTCTTTGAGATTCAAAATTGATAGTGATAACTCAGAAGTTAATACTTCATCCAGGAAATCTTTCCTCATTTATGAAGCATTCCACTTTGTTGCTGTAGCCTTTATAATACTTATATTGTTAATTACTCCCCCCCCACCCCGCCCTTATTAGGCTGTAAGTTTATGGAGAGTCTTCCCAATGTTTTGTACCTGGCTTGTCATTAAATGAATGCTCAACATATTCATTGAACTGATGATAGAATTGGGATTTGGTGTCTGGATGAGGGATTTGGTTTTCAAATTCTGATTTCAGGAGTTAGAAAGCAGTTAACAGTTGTGAGATTCTTATTTCTGAAAAGTTATAAAGTTTTCAGTGGAACCAATATATATCTTTGGGTTTTAAAAAAATATATTTCAAAAGTTAACTATGTTATGAGGCTGATTGAAATTTTTTATTTTGGTAAAATGTATGTAATAAAGTTTACCATTTTAATGGTTTTTACGTGTGCAGTTCTATAGCATTAAGTATATTCACACTTTTTTACAACTATTACCTTCGTCCACATCCTCTGGCAAACACCATTCTCTTTTTGTGTGTATGCGTTTGACCACTTTAGGTATTTCATATAACCGGAATCATCCATGTTGTAGCATGTGTAAGAGTTTCTTTCCTTTTTAAGGTTGAATAATATTGCATTGTATGTATATACCACATTTTCTTTGTCCATTAATCTGTTGACGGACACTTGAGTTGCTCCCACTTTTTTTGGCTGTTGTGAATAATGCTGCTGTAGACGTGGGTGTACAAGTATCTGTTTGAGTCCTTGCTTCCCGATCTTCAGGGTATACCCAGAAATGAAATTGCTGGATCATATGGTAATTCTATGTTTACTTTTATTCCCACCAGAGGTATACAAGTGTTCCAGTTTCTCCACATCTTTGCTAACACTTGTTACTTTCTGTTAAAGTTTGAAAAGAATAGCCATTCTAATGGCTGTGAAGTGGGATTTCTATATATTTTTAAATGCTTTAGATATGTCTCTGGATTTTTTCTTAATCGAGCACCTCTTGTTCAGAAATGACACTTTTCAATTCTCCCACATTTCTTATGACTCAGATTCTGTATTCCTTAAGTTGTTCTAGATGTGCTTTATTCTCCCAGGAATTTTTTTTCTTCTCTTAAACTATCTAACCTTTTTCTCTCTCTTCTTTTCCAATACTGTGTGCTGATATGAATGATTCTTCAATTAAACACATTGTGGGGGCTGCAAAACTTATCATTTTGGGAAATGTTTCAATACGATCATATTGTTGGAGTAGGATTCAGAAGACTTGGGAGTTTATTAACCAATTTTTTTTGACATTAGCAAATCAATCTACTTCTCTGAAGTCTCAGTTTCTTTTTTTTTTTTTTTGAGACTGGAGTCTCGCTCTGTCGCCCAGGCTGGAGTGCAGTGGCACGATCTTGGCTCACTGCAACCTCCGCCTACCGGGTTCAAGCGATTCTCCTGCCTCAGCCTCCCGAGTAGCTGGGATTACAGGCGCCCGCCACCACACCCAGCTAATTTTTGTATTTTTATTAGAGACAGGCTGGTCTCGAACTCCTGACCTTGTGATCTGCCCGCCTCAGCCTCCCAAAGTACTGGGATTACAGGCGTGAGCCACCACTCCCAGCCCACTGAAGTCTCAGTTTCTTTAACTATGAAATGAGAAGTTAGGTTTGATCCAGTGAAAGTTTATTCAGCACCTACTGCATGCATGCTGCTCTTGATTAGGTAGGCATTATGGGTGTAGAAAGATGAATGACATACTTTGACTCTTGATAACTGCCTAATTGGTGATCTTCTAAGGGTCTGTAATTCTTTTCTTGTTATTTTTTAATTTAAAAAATTGTGATTTTGTTTGCAGTTACTGTAAAATGGGGAAAGGAGAAATTTGAAGGTGTAGAATTGAATACTGATGAACCTCCAATGGTGTTCAAGGCTCAGCTGTTTGCGTTGACTGGAGTCCAGCCTGCCAGACAGAAAGTTATGGTGAAAGGAGGAACTCTAAAGGTAAAATGTAGTCCGAATTTTCATCACGTTACTATTATTGTATATTTTTTGAAAAATAACACTGGAAAATGTATTTAATTTTAATGTAGCATTTGAAGTACTTTTTTATATGATGAGAATATGTCATCTATGGGGTTTAAACTGTCTTATGCATGTTAGAGTAAGGGAGAAACATTGTAGCTGTTTCACAACACTATACTGTATTATAAAAACATCCTTTTAAAACTCTTTTTACTTTTATTTATTTTTAACTTTTAGGTTCTGAGGTACATGTGCAGGTTTGTTATATAGGTAAACCTGTGTTACAGGGTTTTGATATACAGATTTCATCACCCGGGTACTAAGCATAGTACCCGACAGGTAGTTGTTTTTTTTTTTTTTTAAGATCCTCTTCCTCCTCCCACTCTCCACCCTCAAGTAAGCTCCAGTGTCTATTGTTCCTCTCTATGTGTCTGTGTGTTCTCATTATTTAGCTCCCGCTTAAAATTAGAACATGCGGTTTGCTTTTCTGTTCCTGCATTAGTTTACTAAGGGACTAACAGGTAGTGATCTCCAGCTCCATCCATGTTGCTGCAAAGGACATGACTTTGTTCTAAAAGCATCATTTAAATTTTATTTTAAAATGTATTGTATTACCAGATACCTCTGTGGGTCAGAAGAGTGGAATACTTTACAGTTATCTGTATTGTGTGAATTTTTTTTCCTATGAGGATGTATTAAAAGTATTAGTTTTATTTTGTTTAGACTAAAATGAAATCAATTAATATTTCCTTAGTAATTTTCTGCGATGAGGTTGGAAAATTTTATCTCCGCTTAAACATATGGAACAATACAGATAGGTTTGTTTTCTTAAAAAACTATTACAGAATGTAATTTTGTACATGCATTTGTATGTTGAAATTCAAAGCACTTCAGCATTTTTACCAAAGCCCTGGTTCTGGAAAACTGTTCATTTTTTTTTTTTTTGGCCTTTATTGCATCCTACCCATTAATGAAGAGCTGTTTTTTTCTTTTTTTCTTTTTCTTTTTTTTTGAGACGAGTCTTGCTCTGTTGCCCACGCTGGAGTGCAGTGGCACTGTTGTGGCTCACTGCAACCTCTGCCTCCTGGGTTCAAACGATTCTCATGCCTCAGCCTCCTGAGTAGCTGGAATTACAGGTGTCCACCACCATGCCCGGCTAATTTTTGTATTTTTAGTAGAGATGGGGTTTCACCATGTTGGCCAGTCTGGTCTTGAACTCCTGACCTCAAGTGATCTGCCCACCTCGGCCTCCCAGAGTGCTGGAATTACAGGCGTGAGCCACCGCACCTGGTCCCCTTTTTCCATAACAGTAATTATTACCTAACTCCTACCTGGAGATGGGAGGAAAAAAATTCTGTTTAAAAAGAGAATAAACCTAATTTTTTTCTTTACTTCCTTTGGAATGATCACAGTGACCACAGTTAAGAATCCATCCTTGCCAGCATCACTGATGAAGGACTGAAGAAAAGACAAGAAGATATCTATTATTATTATTATTATTATTTTTGAGATTGAGTCTCCCTCTGTCACTCAGGTGCTGGAGTGCAGTGGCGCCATCTCAACTCATTACAACCACCGCCTCCTGGGCTCAAGTGATTGTCCTGCCTCAGTCTCCTGAATAGCTGGGATTACAGGTCACCGCCACCACCCCTGGCTAATGTTTGTATTTTTGGTAGAGACAGTGTTTCACCATGTTGGCGATGGTCTCCTGACCTCAAGTGATCTGCCCGCCTCGGGCCTCCCAAAGTGCTGGGATTACAGGCGTGAGCCACCACACCCGGCCTCTGTTGTTTTTAATAATATAAGTATAGTTTTAAAAAATACTTTCTTCAAGGGTTAGATAAAATGCTAAAGATCTGTAGTTAACTTTAAAGACAAAGACTGGCTACCCCCTCAGGGCAGTAAAACACATGTTGGAGGAAAATAACTTTGTTTACCTCTGAAGGTACAGTATGAACCTTTGGCCTTTAGTGAACTTCATAGCCTAATTCGTGCTGAACACTCTACTAGTGGTATGCTGTCAGGAGTTATAGAAGTATGCAAATTAAATGAAACTGTGGCTGCTAATAGTTACCATTTATTGAGTACTTATTCTGTGTCAGGCTTTTATTATATTTTCTTTAATTTTCAACTATATGTTGTCCATATCTTATAAATGAGGAAATTTTATAAATGAGTGTCAAAGAGGTTTAAGTAACATAGTAAGGCACCAAATGAGCTTATGATTTATAAATCAAGCAGATCTGTGTTCCATTCCCAGCTTTGTGTGACCTTGGGTGAGTGATCTTAGAGGGCATTTATAGTTATCATTCGTTATCTTTAGCAGTCATAGTCCTTAAATTGAGAAGGGCCTGTAGGAAGTTACTGTTCCATTTTAAAGCAGATAGAGGATATAATTAGTGGCACCAATGAAGGGTAGACAAGCATATTGAATACCCAATACTTTCTATAAAAGGGAGTAATATGGAATCGACTTTATCCTATGAGGGGAAAGGCCTAGCTGCAGTAAGTTAAAATATTACTCTGGACTAATCATGCATTTAAAAAAATATATTGATCTTTATTTAACATATTGAAGGGAAAGTAATTGCTTTATAGATGTGAAATTTAGCACTTGAGAAACATTTATGGTTATGCAAGTACTAGTAAGATTTAGTTTGCCTTGGGTAGTCTGGTTTATTCTAGCATTTGTATTCTTCTGAGTCTCCTGGTTTTGATGGTAAATTATAGAGTCACCTTAATTACATTAACTCTTCATTCTTGCCATGTAAGCTAGTTATTTATTAGCTCTGCTGGTTCCAAACACCCAAAAAATAGGATCTATCATCTGTCATTAGTCAAGTGTATTTTAGTACTTGCTAAAAGTATTTTTTTTTATACTTATGTGTTTTTTAGTATTTGATGCTGTAAAGGTTACTGCCTTTTATATTGTGTTACCTTATACAGTTGAAGCAAATTATTTGAAACCCTGGCTTTAGGACCGCTTGTGTTTAAAGAAATTTTTTTTTTTTTTTTTTTGAGATGGAGCCTTGCTCTGTTGCCCAGGCTGGAGTGCAGTGGTGAGATCTCGGCTCACTGTAAGCTCTGCCTCCTGGGTTCAAGCAGTTATCTTGCCTCAGCCTCCCGAGTAGCTGGAATTACAGGTGTGCACCACCATGCCCAGTTACTTTTTGTATTTTTAGTAGAGATGGAGTTTCTCTATATTGGTCAGGCTGGTTTCGAACTCCTGACCACAGGTGATCCGCCTGCCTTGGCCTCCCAAAGTGCTGGGATTACAGGCGTGAGCCACCGTGCCTGGCCAAAAAAAATTTTTTTTTTATTGCTGTAATTTTAAATAAAATCTGCATACAGGATAAATTTTATTCTGTTTTGAAGTAGGTTAAAATAAATTGATTATTAGATTATGTTCTGCTTGTACAGAAGTGGTTAAATGTCTTTTGTTTGTCTTTGAAACAGGATGATGATTGGGGAAACATCAAAATAAAAAATGTAAGTATTATCTTATGGATGTTTATTATAATGTGGTAACCTCATTATGATACCAAAATAAATTCCAGATGACTTTTTTTCACATGTATATCCAGTTGTTCCAGCACTATCTGTTGAAAATACTTGCCTTTTCCCATTGACTTGTGTTGGGCTCTTTCTTGAAAACTGGTTACAGGTTTATTTTTGGTTTTTGTTTCATTGATCTAGTAGATTAGAGTTACACTAGTACCAAATGGTTTTGATTACTAAAGCTTTATAATAAAAGTCTTGAAAAAAAAATTAGCTGGGTGTGGTGGTGCACACCTGTAATCCTAGCTACTCGGGAGGCTGAGGCAGGAGGCAGGAGAATCGCTTGAACCTGGGAGGCGGAGATTGCAGTGAGCCGAGATCACGCCACTGCACTCCAGCCTGGCAACAGAGCGAGACTGTCTCCAAAAAAACAAGAGTCTTGGAATAAGGTAGTATACATTCTTATGCTCTGCAGCTTTTTCCTCTTTGAGATTTTGTTTGAGATTACATTGAATCTGTAGCTCAATTTGGGGAGAATAAACATCTTAACAATATTGCGTATTAAAATCCTTGAATATGATGTACTTCCTTATTTGTTTGGGTCTCTGTTTTCTCTTAGCAGTGTTGTAGTTTTTAAATATAGAGATTTTGCATGAGTGTTTTTTTTTGGGGGGACAGGGCCTCACTGTCATGTATGCTGGAGCACAGTGGCATGGTCACAGCTTGCTGCAGCTTCAAACTCCCAGACTCAAGCAGTCCTTCCATCTCAACCTTCTGAGTAGCTGGAACCACAGGCATGTGTTACCATGCCCAGTTAATTAATTAATTTTAATTGTTTTTTGTAGAGATGGGGGTGTCACTATGTTTCTCAGGCTGGTCTTAAACTCCAGGGCTCAAGTGATCTTCCTGCCTTGGCCTCCCAGAGTGCTGGGATTAACAGGTGTGAGTCACTGTGCCCAGCCCTTGCATGACTTCTCTTAAATTATTGGAACTTAACGTTTTTTCACTGCTTAAAATGATATTAAAAAATTGTTTCCAGCGTTCATGGCTAGAATGTAAAAATACAATTGATTTTTCTTTTTTGTTTTTTTTTTGAGACAGAGTCTCACTCTTGTTGCCCAGGCTGGAGTGCAGTGGCGCGATCTCGGCTCACTGCAACCTCTGCCTCCCAGGTTAAAGCAGTTCTGCCTCAGCTGGGATTACAGGCACCCACCACCATGCCCGGCTAATTTTTGTATTTTTAGTAGAGATGGAGTTTCGCCACATTGGCCAGGCTGGTCTCAAAATCCTGACCTCAGGTGATCCACCCATCTTAGCCTCCCAAAGTGCTAGGATTACAGGCGTGAGCCACTGTGCCCGGCCAAAATACAATTGATTTTTCTAAGTTTATTTTCATTCTGGGTTCTTGTAAGCAATTCACTTACTAATTCCAGTTGTGTTTTGGGCAGATTCCATTGGGTTTTCTGTGTACATAAACATGTTATCTGCAAATAATGACAGTTTTACTTCTCCCTTTTCAATATTCATGACTTTCAGTTTTCTTAAACTTTATTGACATATAATTGATAAAGAGATGACTTCTTTTATTTATTTTTTTTGAGACAAAGTCTTGCTTTGTCGCCCAGGCTGGGGTGCAGTGGTGTGATCTTGGCTCACTGCATTATCTGCCTCCCTCGGTTCATGTGATTCTCCTGCCTCAGCCTCCCGAATTGCTGGGATTACAGACGCCTACCACCACGCCCGGCTAATTTTTGTATTTTAGTTTCGCCATGTTGGCCAGGCTGGTCTCGAACTTCTGACCTCAAGTGATCCTCATGCCTTGATCTCCGTGCCAGGCTTTGTCCTACTTTTTGATAGGATTTCTAATATGGTGTTAATAGAAAGTGAGAAGAGTGGCTGAGGGCGGTGGCTCACGCCTGTAATCCCAGCACTTTGGGAGGCCGAGGCGGGTGGATCACGAGGTCAGGAGATCGAGACCATCCTGGCTAACACGGTGAAAACCTCTCTCTACTGAAAAAAAAAAACAATTAGCCAGGCGTGGTGGCGGGCACCTGTAGTTCCAGCTACTCAGGAGGCTGAGGCAGGAGAATGACGTGAACCAGGAGGCGGAGCTTGCAGTGAGCCGAGATCATGCCACTGCACTCCAGCCTGGGCAACAGAGCAAGACTCCATCTCAAAAAAAAAAAAAAGTTATGAGAGTGGACATCTTGTCTGGGTGTGGTAGCTCAAGCCTGTAATCCCAGCACTTTGGGAGGTCAAGGAGGGTGGATCACTTAAGGTCAGGAGTTCGAGACCAGCCTGGCCAACATGGTGAAACCCCGTCTCTACTAAAAATACAAAAATTAGCCGAGCGTCATGGTGCGTGCATGTAGTCTCAGCTAGTCAGGAGGCTGAGATAGGAGAATTGCCTGGCCTCAGGAGGCGGAGGTTGCAGTCAGCTGAGATCACACCACTACACTCCAGCCTGGGCAACAGAGCGAGACTCCACCTCAAAAAAAAAAAAAAAAGGAACAAAATGAGTGAACATCTTGTCTTATTCTAGTTCACTACAACTTAAAATTATGAAAAACTATTAAATTTTGTTAAGTGCTTTTTCTGTTTGTTAAAATGATTGTGTAATTTTTTTTCTTTTGGTAATGTGGTTATTCTCATTGATTTTTAACTTAAACCTTGGGATATGCAGTTCTCAAATTTCTTGGTATTGTTACCCTTTTGCTCTCTTAAATATTATGATTGACCCCAGAGTTTCATATAAAGGCACACCTTATTCTTTGTGCTTCACAGATAATTGTGATTTTTATAAATTGAAGGTTTGTGGCCACCTTGCATCGAGCAAGTTTGTAGGCATCATTTTTCCAGCAGCCTATGTTCACTTCATGTCTCTTTGTCACATTTTGGTGATTCTTGCAATATTTGAAACATTTTCATTACTCTCACATCAAGTATGTTGATCTTTGATGTTACTTTTGTAATTGTTTTGGGGTGTCATGAATCACACCTGTAAGACGGCAAACTTAATCGGTAAATGTGTGTTCTGACAGCCTTACTGACCCGCAATTCCCTCTTCCCTCCTCAGGCTTCCCTATTCCCTGAGACAAGGCAGTATTGAAATTAGGCCAGTTAATAACCCTATAATGGCCTCTAAGTGTTCAAGAGAAAGGAAGAGTTTCATGTTTCTTACTTTCCACAGAAAGCTAGAAATGATTAAGCTTAGAGAGGAAGGCCTGTGTAAAGCCAAGATAGGCCAAAAGCTAGGCATTTTGCACCAGTTAACCAAGTTGTGAATACAAAGGTCCAGTTTTCAAAGGAAATTTATAATTTAAAAGGTAAAGTTCTTGAAGTGTTACTGCAATGAACACACAAGTGATAAAGCAAAGCAACCTTATTGCTGATGTGAAGAAAGTTTAAGTGGTGTGGATAGAAGATCAAACTAGCCACATTTCCTTAAGTCAAAGCCTAACCAGAGGAAGACCCTAATTCTCTTTAATTCTGTGAAGGCTGAGAGAGGTGAGGAAGCTACATTATCCTCATCAGACTAACACAGGAACAGAAAACCGAACACTGTATGTTGTCACTTATAAGTGGGAGCTGAACAATGAGAATACATGGACACAGGGAGGGGAACAGCACACACTGGGGCCTGTCAGGCAGTGGGATGTGGGGAGAGCATCAGGATAAATAGCTAATGCATGCTGGGCTTAATACCTAGGTGATGGGTTGATAGGTACAGCAAACCGCTATGACACATGTTTACCTGTGTAACAAACCTGCACATCCTGGACATGTACCCAGAAACTTAAAAAAATATATATATATATATGATACATAATTTGAAGCTAGCAGAAGTTGGTTCACAAGGTTTAAAGAAAGAAGCAATCTCTGTAACATAAAAATGCAAAGTGAAGCAGTAAGTGGTGATGGAGAAGCTGCACTAAGTTATCCAGAAGATCTAGCTAAGATTGCTGGTGAAGGTGGCTACACTATACAGCACATTTTCAATGTGGATGGAACAGCCTGATATTGGAAAAAGATGCTGTCTAAGCCTTTCATAGCTAGAGAGGAGAAGTCAGTGCCTGGGTTCAAAGGCCAGCCTGACTGTCTTGTTAGAGTCTTATGCAGCTGGTGACTTTAAGTTGAAGCCAATGCTCACTTACCATTCCACAAACCGTGGATCTCTTAAGAATGATGCTAAATCTACTCTGCTTGTGCTCTGTATATGGAACAACAAAGCCCAGATGCCAGTACATCTGTTTACAGTATGGAGTAGTGAATATTTTAAGGCCACCATTGAGACTTACTGCTCAGAAAGAGTCCTTTCAAAATATTACTGCTCATTGACAATGCATCTAGTCACTCAAGAGCTTTGAGAGAGATAAATGAGATGAATGTTGTTTTCATGTCTGCTAACACAACAACTATTCTGCAGCCCGTGGATTAGGGAGTAATTTCTACTTTCAAATCTTATTATTTAAGAGATACATTTTGTAAGGCTAAAGTTCCCCTATAAAGTTATTTCTCCATGAATCTGGGCAAAATCAAAAACTTTCTGGAAAGGATTCACCATTCTTGATGCCATTAGGAACATTCATGGAAGGAAGTTAAAATGTCAGTATTACCAGGAGTTTGAAAGAAGCTGATTCTAACCCTTGTTGGATGACTTTGAGGAGTTCAAAACTTGAGTTGAAGATATAACTGCCCATGTGGCGGAAATAGGAAGAAAACTAGAATTACAAGTGGCCAGGCACGGTGGCTCACTACTATAATCCCAGCACTTTGGGAGTCTGGGATAGGAGGAGAGCTTCAGGCTGGGAGTTCAAGACCAGCCTGGGCAACACAGTGAGACCCTGACTTTACAAAAAATAAAATTAGTTGGGCATGATGGTATATACCTGTAGTCCTAACTACTCTGGAGACTGAGGCAGTAGGATCACTTAAGCTTAGGAGTTTGAGGTTACAGTGATCTATGATTGTGACACTACACTTCAATCTGA